TCAATATACATATATATATACCAATATTCCTATAGATATGTAGGTATATATATGTATATATAAATATATGTATAAATACATATGTTTATATACAAATAAATAAAATAGCATATATATATATATTTATGAGACAGTATGAATTAGGAACTTTCCAGTTTTCAGATATTCTCTTGAGCTCTTGGAACATATCCCTCTTGATTCATGGGAAACTAATATACAGTTTACTTAATAGAGAAAAAGAGGAAGAACTGAATGATTTAAGAGGGATAGAGTCTGATTTCTGTGTCTTCCAATGATTCTGGTTTAGGGAAATGGAAATCAGTCACAAACAATGATAACTGTCACATGGACTCAGTGCTTTAGGATTCTAACAAAAACCCAAGCACTTAAAATTTACCTTTTGCCAATAATTATATGAAAATTGAAATTGAATCAAAACTTTCTAAAATTTCTTCTTGGAAGTGAACTGGTTAAAAGAAGATTTAATGTCTACATAAGCATATATGAGATAAAACAAAAATGTAGTTTTAAAAGAATGATTTAAATATAAACTTTAAAGTGTTATTTATGATTTTCTATAAAATTCTGTTAATAAAGACTATTGTTCATTGTCTTGAAATGATTCCATATGGTTTGTTTTCAATTTCAAGAAAGAATCAATTTGAAGATGTATTCAAGGAAAAAGAGTCCTGTGTTGCTTGCATTGTTCTGTTCAGATCTTTGTTCTGTTTTGTTTTGTTTTATTCTCTTTAAAATACTAAAATTATATATATATACACATAAATATATATACATAAAGTAAATATATATATACATGATTATATATACATATATATATATATATATATATATCGATAAAGAAAAATAATTACATGATATTGAGAAACAAACTTGCTGTGTAGGACTGTATTTGGTTGAAATTCGTTGGACATTCTTGTTATACTGCATTCCTTTTGACCTTACCAGCCTGAGAACAAGTCTTGCAAATCAACCTTGATATGCAAATTTCATTGGAAAACAGCCATCTTTCTCATGAGTGCCGCAAGGACATCAGAGTTTTCCGAGGTGCTGAAGGTTATAAGACTGGCATCATTGCTTCCTTGTTTACTAGCTGGACTTCTCAGTGTTACCTTTTGCCTAAAAGCCAGGAGAAAGACATACTCAGCACTAGGACTACTGCAGCCTGGATGATGCAGAAGAAAACTGCTACTGCATTGTCCTCAGGACCTCTCTCAAATCGCTTAACTTGCTGTCCCAAGGACTTCTGCAAACTCCCAAGTGCTCATGAAAAATTGTATTTTCCCAAATTGACAACAGCTTTACATTTGGTCTCATGCAGTTCATCCAATATAAAGAAACAGATTATCTTTTCACTTTCCTTGAACCCAAACAGGCTTTTTATAGTTGTTGCAAACAACAGATTAAGACAAAAATGATGTCGTGTAACCTCTATGACTAAATCATGAAAAGGATACAGCCTTTCTCTGGCTCTCCCCCTTCCAGATCTAGTATTTGAAGCCAGATACAATATTGTTAGAAAACACAGAGCAAATGGAGACACTATGTGTAGGTGTTTCCACCAGCAGTCCCAAGTAATACTGTAACCCACAGCCAGCATCAATTCCTAGGTGTGCAAAAATACAATCCTTCAAGTAATTGCAGCTCCTTGCTTTGAGGTTACCAGCTCACCATGCTAAATTCTCTCCTAACGTATTGATGTGTTGCATGCATTTCGGTGCATGAGAATAGATGCCTAAGGGTTGGGGATGGAGCTGAGGAACTAGCCCATAATTTCAGATGAAAGATCTACATTGATTCAAAATCCCATCACAGACCAGACCTATTCCAGTGCTTTTTAAATAAATTACACCTGAAAGAGAAACTCCCTAAAAGGCCTTGATTTCATTCTCTGTCATGGCAATGTCATTTGATAAAGGGTAAAATGACCAAGCAATACAAATAAGAATAAAATAGCGCTTAAAGGGAGAAATGTTCTTGTCCAAAATGTACTTGCTGAAGAGTTTGGAGCTTCTAACAAAGAAAATTCAAAACTTTTAATAACTTTTACAATGAACCTCATGTTATTAAGTTAAAACTTCTTGAAGCCAAGATGAGAAAGGGTTATAGAAAAAATTATTTGCTTTGAAAAATGTAGGAATTAGAAAAAATGTATTAGAAGATTAGAGAAGAATGAAAAGTGTCCCAAATGGGAGATCTCAAAGTGAAAAAAAACTTCTGAGAAATGAATAGCACCTAAATTCAGTGAAAATCTGTATGTAACACTTACCCTAATCTTTAAGGTTATATCTGCCCTTTGTAGCAGAGAGCTTTCCAACACAGAATTAGATTACAAGGTAATTGGTTGTAGATATTCAGGAACTGAAGCAAATACAGTACTTTTTTATTTTCCTACTATTGACATAAATTTACTAAATCAATGCAAATTAGGTACTTGTAGATTTATATTCAAAATAAATTTAATTTTGAAAGACACACATAAACATAGCATCTCATAAACTCATTTAATAGTTTCATTTTTAGTTACATTTGGCTTTAAAATCTCTAAGTAATTATGTTTTTATCATGCTAATGTATAATTACCCATAGCAATAACTGTGACTTTCAGGTATTTGGAACCCCATAAGGAAATGGCTGTGCTAATTTCTGACAGTAACTTGCTCCATCCTCATAATGACCCTTTGAGGAAGCAATGTTTTTTGTTGTTGTTACTTTCAGATCATAGTAAATTAAATAACTTGTGTTCTGGACTCATCCAAAAGGTTTTCCTGCCTACATTCATAGAAACTTCATTGTCAAACTTTCTGTTTTCAAAAATGTCCTGCACACCTTGGTTTAGGGTTAAGAAAACACTGTGGCTCAACTCAATCCTATTCTTTCCAATTTTCTGTTTCCCTTTCAGAAGAAAAGATCAGTTCTCTTCTCTTTCGCTGGAGCAACCACCCAAAGCATTCTTCCTTGTTAATATTGACTCTCTCCTATAGTTGTGAGACTCAAGGCTTAGAAAGGAAGGGGTATCAAGAAAATGAATTTGAATGTGAAAGAAGAGAAATTGCTTCTTTGCTAATATTCACCACAGCCAAGTCAAAGTCCTGGCAACCTCCAGTCTTCTGTTTTCCTTATTTTACTTTCTAAAGGAGATATTCAAAATATATTTGTATCAATACAATGACACTATAGTTTACTTTCCTGATTTAAAAGGTCAAGGAACTTGGCTTTTAGAAAAGGAAGTAATGGGGGACAAATTTTAAATATAGACACATCTAACCTGTTTGGGCAGAAGGACCTTTTAGTCACTGTTCGGTAGGCAGCTACAAAACCACTGACTGCCAGCCTTGTGTAATCAGTACTGCTAGAGACTTGAAATTGATGTATACTTTTCACTTTACTAACATGATCGCTTAATGCAATCTGTTGGCTTAAACAATCCATCAGTGGAATGCTATGTATTTTAATGCTTGAAAATTATATGATTTAATTTGGTTTCAGGCAGGTAGAATGACAAATTTCATCATTAAAATATAACAATCAAAGCTACAAAGAAAGAACATCAAGCATTCTTCATAGGTTTTGCAGGTGTCGTGACTGAGCTTGATTGTTAGCAGAAAAGACACCCTACTCTCTCGGGATCTTTGGCAATGAATCCCTGCAGTTCTCTCCCAAGAGGAATTCAGATCCTCTCTTCTTGTCTTTCTAATATACTTGTGACTTCTTGGACCAATAAGATGTGGCAGGATTAATATTATCTAGGAATAGGTCTCAGAAGTCCTGGTGACTTCTGTTCTTACCTACTGTGGAAAACAGCTCAGGCTGAACTACAAGTACATACACAGTGACTGATTCCATAGATAGGAAGCTCCCAGCTTTCAGCAGTCTCACAGTGCCTCAGCCATACACGTAAAGAAGCATTACACCCTCTAAACCTACCCCAGCTAACCCTCAGAATTAGAAAAAAGCATGTGTGACAGAAGCAAAAAACAGACAAACATTCCACAACCAGCCCACAACATGTGAAACAGAGGACTTCATTGTCCTAAGTCACTACATTGTGCGATACTTTACTGTGCAGCAAGACATAATCAATAATATGGATTAATAGTGAATCTAAAAATAGCCTCTTGTTGACCTAATCCCCAAATGTCATTAATTAAAAATGCATCTCAAAGTTGAGAATAGTTAGGTTCTCTAATAAATACATGTTTAGGTTTGCAAGTCTATCAAAATTGTTTTCAAGATTAGATATAGACTCAACATTAAGTACTACTCTTTTCAATAGTTAATAAAAAAAGAATGGCATTGTTCCATATTACCTTGCTCGGAAAATTTGGTCTATTGCTTAATGTCTTATTTTAGCTTAGATGTAATGTTTTGTTATATTCTGGTGTTTTCTTCTGAACCACAAATGTTAGATTTCCCCACACTCCTCCAGTAGATGAGAGATGCTTTATCTTTCTAAATCCCATCCTAGGCCTAAAATTTTGGACTCAAACTCAGTGGGCTTCAAAATTCAAAGCCTTTAGGAGGGAGTCGTGTTTCATAATAAAGGCAATATATACTAGGGGAAATTTTGAGCTGAATCTAATTTACAATCCCCTCACACTTCAGCTGCCAATATTTTGTCACTTAATTAAGAAATAAACATGACCTGGAGGACCCATAGATTCAGTGGTATTCAAATACTATTTTAATCCACAGATTTCTTTTTGCCTTTCCTGTTTTATTATTTTTGCCAGTGTTAGAAAGTTAAACAATTTCCCAGCTTCATAATGATTTGCCAAGAATTATCTTATTCAATTATTCATTTTAACGTGGGAGGAAAATTCAATTATTTTCAATAGCATGCCAATAAACAAACAATTCCTTGGTAAAAGAAATATGTGGAGATATATATATATATATATATATATATATATTTGTAAGTTTTAAACATATAAAATACACATTGCACACAATTTACAAAACTGAAATGCATATCACTTTTTTTCAGTTCCAGTTTATTCTCACTGAACACATTCATGACTTTTTGACAAAGCTTTTTATCTATAGCTAACCAATTCAATCATGATTTAGCAAATAGAACTGTATCCCAATCCAGTAATCCTTTTCCCAATACAGTCATCATTTAACGTGATAGTGATCTATAATTAAACCGGTTTTGACTGGCACATAAATCTCATTCATTAAATTGAAACTTCTTTCAGTTTCTGCACTGACATGATACACTTTTTAAGTTTAATCCTTATTATTAACATTTTCTTCATCATTTTAAGTCTAGACAATCAACAAAACAATAAATAAAACTCTTTTCATTGCAGTTGTAGATTTCCATAGTGCAAATATCCTCACATGGCTGACTTCAAATCACAGAAGAGATATTGTTCAGTTCATAGATGGGAAAACATGGGATATAACACAACATTAAATTGCGCCGGCACATTCAAGCAGCCTCAAATACTCAGCAAAAAATAATAGTGAAGTCTGAGATTTATCACCTTTCTTTATTGAGAATAATTTATTTAATTTTTAATATATAATTTACCTTTAAATAATGGCTGTGATTAACAACTGGTTCGTAAAGTACCTGCATATTTTGTACTCAGATCTTGCAAGGCTGTCTTGGTTGAATCCAGCACATACTGTTTAAAGGACAGTTCAGCAGAAATGTTATCTTTGTTTTAATTTGTAAGGAAGCAATTTCTCATCAAGGCTACTTTTGTACTCAATTACCCTACGCATAAAGGAACAGGACAAGAAAACTAAATTCACAGAAGGAAGATTCACAGCCTTGTAATATGGTTATGAAATTTTTCTTTATTTTAATGTTTTATATTCTATATTTTATTTTGTTCTTTGTGGATGTGAAAAACAAATGGCTTTAACACATGTAAATACTTGATCCATCATAAGTTTCATAAATAGTTGGCAACAATTGTTATCATTCTTGAAACATGCTTTTGTTTTACACTATCCAATGTGAAAAGCATGAAATAAAAAGATACAAGACTTGAATCAAGGAAGAATGATGTTAGAAAGGAGGTCAGTTTTCTGTTCCAGTTTAATTATAACATAGAACCCCGCCGTGCTCCTTCCTTCAGACCTCAGAACCACGGCTGCAGGACCCTTCACACTGTCCTCCCTCCTGTGACCAGGCAGCAGCCTTCCAGAAAGTTAATGCCTTGAGTTCACAGGCTGTGGTGCACCAAATGCCTTTAAATGCCTCATACTCTGCGATGCTTGGCAGTAATTCTGAAGAACTCATTAACACTTCAGGTTAATAATCCATTTGGCGACTAAAGTATGCAGAAAATTCTGTTTTGTATTTACCACATAGTCTCTCAAACTCCCGTCTCCACACAACACTTATCCAAAACATATTCAAGATTGAATTTTTTTTTTGCACATGACTTCTATCAAATTTCTGAGAGTGCTGATTTCCCTTGTTTCTTGGCTGTGTTTGGCTACAGGCACACAGTTCCTCTGGGACCTTGCAGAATACAAATGTTTTCTCTGCTTGAATGTCACTTATGGCATTGCCTTCATTTTCTTCATTTTGGTCTGCTTGGATCTTTCAGCTCCCCTTCATAGACTGTACTCTCGGAAAGCATGCAGGATGTCTTGGCATTCTCCATATCCCCTCAAGGTTCAGTTGCAGTAGTTTGTACTGTCAGTACAGTACATAAAAACATACTGGCAAATAAGAGAATATTTACCAAGTGCATAGCCATGGCCTGGTACAGTGCTAGTTTACACCTGTGTGTCTAACCTTCCTAGTGTTCTTATACTTTAAATTCTTTATGCTGTCATGATGGCACCTTAGCAAACTAAGTGAAACCTGGGTAAAAGTTTTCAAATTACATTTTTTCAATACCCAATGAACTGCTTCCTTTACCTTCTTTAGATATTCTCTTGCCTTGTCCTTTCCTATAGTTTGATGAGCAATTCTTTTGGAAAAGCCTCTAAATCCCACCCCCCCATATATTCTTTTATTTTATCCTATATTATTTTTCCATTTACTTTCTTGGAGGGGCACCATCACTTCGATAACAGTATACACATATTTACTGATCATAACCATTCCTCCAAATGATCTATAATTTAAGTTTAAAGGGAGCACTAGTACTTTTTCAGGCCTACTATATAAGTATTGCACAATGAATTGGTCAGTTTTGTTACTAAACTAATTCTACATACCAAAGTCCTCGACTTAAGGAGAACATGGGTCTTTTTTCTCACCTATGGATCTTCAAGTTCCCAAGGCCATCTCTGCTTCAGGCTGAAGTCTGGATCTTCAAAACTTCTCCGTGTATATTCATTCTAGATTATCCTACAGGGAAAGGAAAAGCATGCTTCCTGAAGCATGCTCTTTTCGTGGCAGGTCACAGGTTCATAAAAGTGCAAGCTCTAAATTCTGAAGAACTCATTAACACTTCAGGTTAATAATCCATTTGGCGACTAAAGTATGCAGGATTTACCTGAGGACTACTGGCACAATGACTCACCTGCCCTTATATCAACACCAGAATGATTCACATGATGAAACCCAAATTCAGGGGTATGAAGTATGTGCCACTGCCTTGTGTGCATCTTTGCAAGACAACATGGCAGAAGCCAGTGAAGGGTAGGAACGATGCAGTCTGCCACACACACAAAAATGGTTAACCCATATATTTTCCATATGAGGTGTTTGTACTTCCATTAGAAACATAAAGAAATTTAGACATGAAAAATTAAACTAAAAAGCCCACAATTATACTACAAAGGAGACAAAAATAAGAATTTGGACAGTGTAGCTTTTTACTTCATAGAACACATATTATTTTTATGATAGCAGTAACCTCAATTACAGCTCTCATATTCCTAGTTTTAAAAGAAAATTTGAGATGGTATTAGCGCTAAAACTCTTTTTGAGCTAAGATGGATAAAGATACAAAAACAAATAAAGGTACTCACAGTGGACAACACCAGTCACTCCTTTATTCTAAAAGAAATTTCTATCATCTCAAAGATGAGTCTCTTCTATTGTCTCATGCATTACTTATTATGGTGCCAGTCAAGTCATACAGATTTCCCGTTTAATTAACTATGTGTTGTGGCTTAAAATAAAGTCTTTCACAAGACTTGTAAAGCCAATTTAAGTTTCTCTTTCTACCTAAAGAGGAATTTTGTGGCAACAGTGGTAATAATTGTAATTTCAGTTCTTTACGAATAAAGAAAACCAGCCCAATATAGATTCTGAAACAGATTTGGGTTTCACTAATGTTCCCCACGTCTGGGCATGAATCTATGATGGCCAATAGCTTGATGGTTGAGCATTGAGAGTGAGAGGGTCATATTGAGCCAAGGCATTAATCCCAAACTACCTTCTCCCCACAGATGTGGCTCGTATCCATGACCAGCTCCTAAGACACCTTTTGTAATACATATTTTCTAAATCTGCTGGATTTTAAGAATTACAGTGGGATGCTGGCCAAAATTACAGATTAGCATAGTTATTTCATTGAAGAATCTAAATTCTACCCCAGATGGAATATTCTCTGGAGACCTCATCATTAAACAAGCATAGGGGTCAATGAATTAAAAACAAAGGCTAAGTATCTATGTGGGATGGCTATTCTTCATAACATTTGGAATTTAGAAGAAAACTGATGTCTTAAAATTGTATCTCTCATGGTCCATAACTACCTCCAACTTTCTGACCTCAAAAATTATAATGTAAATACAGTTCTTAGTGTAATTACATTCTATAATCTTGGTTAAGAGAGTTCATAATATTTTCCAAACTCAGAACAGTTCTTCCTATTGTTCTATACTTTGCACTTTGGACCAGATTCTCCTACTTCAGACCCAGGGCTCCCCTGCAAAGGACACCAAAGCACATGACTATAACTGTTTGTTCTTGCCCTGTCTACCGTATCACCCCACAGGAAATGGAAGCCATGTTCCTCTGAATTCTCTCTCAACAAATAGGGCCATGCGGTTTTTATACTAGTTGTTAATTCAAAGCCTAGTGGGACAAAAAATAGTTTTGTATCTCCAAAAGGAGTATCATAAAATACTACAATTCTGTGAGGATTATATTGGGTAAGGTTCACATTGGACTTATGTTTAAAATAAATCTCTTCTAGTGGCTATATGTGGATAGTGTGTGTGGTCCACTGAATGTCAGTTTGAAATAAGACTGACTGTCTTCCATTAGCACCAATTGTATAGTATTTGAATTTGGCTTGTTTTTAAAAATACTTATCATAATCATCCTTTTAGATATGCATCCAGCTTCAACTTGATCACACCTTAGTATTGTCATCATGAGCATATTCTGGCGAATGGCAAATTATCCTGAATTACAGGAAGCTGAAATCTATTTCTTATCCTGGCTACTGATCAGCTGCCATGGTAGCCAAGTCTTTCAACTCTTTTTTTTTTTTTTTTTTGCCTCAATTTTAGCCTACAACCTAAATGAGCTGATGTGAAGCATGTTCCCTGTAAAGCAGCTGTCTTCAAAATTCTAAGCATAATCATTTTTTATTGTTATCCAGGCAGCTTAGAGGCAATTGAAAAACTAATTTTTATCTATCCTTCCATCTTTAGCAAAAGTGGCACAAGATAGCAATGGTATCCAAAAGGGATGTTCATGGTGTATTTTTTTCTTTACATTCTTCTATTTACAATCCTTCTTAGTAACCCACACACTTATAGGAAATAGGACTTTTTTTAAACCTTACCTTAGCACAAGACTGCCAAATATGGTGACCTCATCCATGGAATAATTCCTAGTACCTGTGTCATTGTGGTAATGACATAATGAGTAACAATCTACAGTGATTTCAGGACTGCCACTAAGTTTGGAGTCCCCCTACAAAACCAAGGGAAAACATGCTCGGCTATAGGTTTCTTCTTTAATGATTTATTTATTCAATGCTTTGTCTCATTACTTAGGAAAATACACACAGTTAAATGGAATAAAACTGAATTTAGATTAAATAAATGAAAGAATCAGAGAAATGAAAAAGGAAATAAAACCAGGAGCTAAAATGGTTCATAAAAAAAAGTCCTTTGATCTTTCAAATATGCTAAACATAGGCCATCTATTTGCCTCTGAGATTTTCAGCAGTTACCCATTGAGCTGACTTTGTTCCCTAAAGCTACACATAATAAATCAAGTCCCTCTTTCACAAGGAATCCTTCAGATATGGAAAAAGAAGTATTGAGCCCTCCAAGCGAAATCAAAATGAATAATCTTACACATTGCCTAGAAAATATTATTAATTTACTTGACCTTTGGAAGAAAATTCTGCTCCCCTCTATTGCTTATATGCTTAAGCAACTCTAGGGCATTTGATTTCCTAACCTTATTCCACTTAACTTTTCTTTAAGTAGAACACATTTTACATGGAATTAAGCCATTTGTGACAGAACAGCTTAACTGACAATATTAAGATTGACAACTCCATGGCTTAAATGGTAGCAAAGTCCACCTTTTCTCTCTTACAACAGTGAACTCAAGATCCATTATTACCTTTCCTCCTACTGATCCAGGAAATCCTGAATACATTGAAACCAGAGATTCAAATAGTTATTGACTCAATAGAATTGCATTGAAACCACTCAGAAAGGAGGCAAACCATTGCATTTTTATAATTTTCTGATGGGTGCATTTTGTTTAGGGATTTATTGTACACTAGGGATTTAGATCTGCTCTCTGTCATCACAATGATGTCACCATGTAGTTCAATCAATTCAGCAATTAGAGATATTCTTTCTCTCCTGCTATGCTATGTATGTTCTTTCTCAGGTTTGCCATTTGACCATGAGAAAGACGTCATTGTCAGGCAAGATTCCTCCCACAGAAAGAGGACAAGGAATGTCTGCATGCCCAAGCTGCATATCACAGGGCATATTGAGCAACAGAAGCTATAACATCTTTTAATTAAAAATCAGCAGGATCAGATCTTGTCTTAGCTTTTACATTTTGCAAAGTTTTAAAATATCATTAAGCCCACGCATAACTACCAACACCCACACCACTGCCGGCAGGGGCAGCCAGTGTTTCTATATCCAATGATTCCACAATATATCGGTCTGATACATGTACCATCTGGCAGTTTAAAGTATGTTTAACTATCCCTCAAATCAAGTGGCAATTATGCATCAGCCAGCTGCAATCTTTATCTCATTCATCCCCATCTTCTCAGAGATCATTCAAGTAGGTATTCTAGGAGGATGCAAGATGAACCAAATACCTCAGAGATCACAGGTAAATAGGCTGCCCAAGATTCTGTCCAAAGTAATTAAAATTTAGATGTCCCAAGAGACAAAAACATTGACTGCAATGAACTCTGAACCAGCAGCACCTTAGCTCTGATGTCAAAATTTCGCAGATATCTCCTAGAATTCACTTTCATCTCCAAACTCTCAAAAATAGGTGGCTCAGAATTATAAAATTATTTTTAGATAAGAAAGGTGCTATTGGTGTCCACAGAATTAAGGATATTGTTCTGTTGTCTTGGTAACAAGATGTAAGGGGGAGCCTAGAAATCAAGCACTGCTCTCCTATCTTGTTAAAAATCCTGATCCCTAGTCTTCAAAATCCAATTGCCACAGCAATAAGGCCTCTGGTTTTCATACTGTCATACAAGTGTCATGATTTGGGAGACAGCCTCATATCTCTGACAAAGGAATATCAAACTTCTGATATCTTTCCAAGATACTTAGAAAATTTTTGTAAGCTGCAAAGACCAAAGAAAGAATAAAACAAAGCATTTGGAACATGAGGAAGGAAAAGAAACACAGGTTCAGAAGAAAGACAAGTAGAAGGCATGATTTCTAGTGAGACACAAATTATGTACCAAAAATAATGAACTTGATTTGATAACTGGTGTATTTGTGAGCCAAAGGGTTATGATATTAGAAATATAGAAAACAATATGCAATCGTGTTAAAGCAGTTCACTGTGCGGTGAACAGTATTTCTCATAATGATTGAAACTTATTTTTTTCTTTTCATTTTTTAAAATCAATCTATGTGCTAGTCACAAAATTCTCATATTCAGTAATGTGACTTTGTATGGATACATTATTATAAGTTTCCAGGAAGAAGTCATGACAATTTGTAGAGAAAATATATTCCCATCTTCCAGGGTGAAGAACAAAGTGGTCCTTGTAAATCACAGAATGAGAAATAACTATTTAAAAATTTAGGTAGAAGTTTAAGTGAACGAATGGAGAATACATACACACACACACACACACACACACACACACACAAACATCAATAAATAAGGAAGTGTTATAAATAGCTAAGAAATTTGCTATATTAGGAGACAAT